GTTAGGGAATCTAGATGAGTTTCTTAGAGCCATGAATTAACAGGAATTTTAAAAGTGACGTCATGCCCAGCTGCTGTGGAATTTTTCATGTCTTCTACAAATAGTAGTATCTTAGTAACAGTTGCCCTTAACCAAATTAAATACTTATACAAAATATAGGAGTAGAAGGATTTGCTGAATAACTTTTATTTTACAAAATGCATGAAAGTGAAGTTCTTGATAGATGTTTTTTAAGACGGAATTTCAGTCCAGCCCTTTGTTGTAGTTGATATGATATTGTTTTCTGTGAATTACATGAATCATAGCAACTTTAAACTTTTTTTTTATAGCCCTACCTGAACCCATCCTTCCATCCCTCCAAAAAAATTACCCAGTAAGTGTTTCTTATGAATTTATTACATCATATACGTATATGAAGCTGCTTATCTAAAATATATTCATTCTTAAATATCTCTGGTGGATAAAGGTACGCAGTTTGTTGAGCTTGGTCATTGATACACTAAACAAAAGTGTGAAAAAGGTGATTTGTTACTTTGGTCGTTTCTTTAGTGAAAATAGCCTGTTATACATGAGAATATTTCACACACAGTTGGAAATGAGTGCTACTGGGAGCTGCTGACCTAATTCTGTTATGCTGGCCTGAAAATATTCCTGTGCCATCTGTAACTTTTTTATTCTTATTTTTTAATACGTTAAGTAGGGGTTTTTTTCATCCTACTGTAGTGTTTCAGAATTCCATACCATCCTACAGCTGTTGAGTTGCCTGATATTTCTGAGTGCAAAGAGTGAATGATGGCGTGTTTGACTAAGGAGACTTCTGAGATCTTACAAAATTTGGCTTCATTCCAAGAAGAAACTACCTTATTAGGTCTTTGCTGTTATGTCCAGATCATATGTTTCCAGAGAACTTATCAATTGGTTTGCTTTGATCCTCTACAGAATCAGGACTATAATTAGTGGGACTTAACCTAAGGAAGATTAGCTAGAGATTAGAGCTACCCTCCTAAATATTTGTCTGGGGACAAAAGACCTATGTCTGTGCTGTAACTTATTTGCAGAAATTCCTCAGTTCCTTTCCTCCCCTCTGTCACTTTTAATTATTTTTTTTTTATTCATAGTTGCCATAGTTTGGTGTCCCTGTCTGTGTGTGGTTTTTTACTGTTGCTGATAATTGTGCTGAGGAAGTGTCAGAACGCTATTCTTTCTTTTGCGTACATTCCCCGTAATGCTGAAATGGGAATATTTGATGGCACTGTACATCAGGGAGAAAATACTGTGGTGTCAGCCATTTGGGGTAATGGGATAATCAAGATGCAGAAGAAAGTTTTCAGCTGTAGTACACTCCAGTTTTATTTTATTTTATTTTATTTTAACCTGCCTAGGCATACCTGTGCTAAATTTTTATGGTCTTTATTTTTTCTTCTGTTTTGCTGGGGTTTTTGTAACTGCACTGTATGCCTTCTAATTTCTTCAATGTTACTGCTCCAAAGCATTTGAAGTTGTTTTTCAGTTCTTGTTCTCTTAAGGTTTATCAGGTGGGGTTTTTGAATTGCTAAACTTGCTAATTATGTTTGCATATCGCTCATATGCTGTAGTATTTAAAGTTTTGTGTAGCATGTAATTTAAAGAAAACAATGGTAAACAACAGTTTAAACTGAATCTTCAGTAATAATAATGCAAACATTTGTTTGTAGTGTTTGAGCTGTTTGAACTTCACAGTATTATACAAATATTAATGTCTTAAATTATTAAAGCAAAAGCATGCAATACTATAAGGTGAAAAATCTATTAATTTGTACTAAATACAAGGTTTTATCTTGTGTCATGTGAAAATGGTAAATCACTTGTAAGTTTCTAAGTTTCTAGAACACCGCTGTAACATTTTTAACCCTGTTTGAACATAGAGTTGTTGTTGCTGTTAGTTATTTTGCCTTTGAAGAACAGATTAAATATTCTAGAATTGCTAATAAAATAAAAGGATTTTTTTATACATGCTTACTATTAAACCAAATAAAAACTATGAGATAAGATATATTTCTTTTAATTACACTAGAAATTTGCAAGTATATTTTTGGTCTACTGCCTCCATTAGGAATATAATTGTTTAAAAGTTGTGGAAGTTACCATTTCTTCATACTTATACTGCAAAGAAATGTAAACTGAGAAATATATTACAACAATTGTGGTCTTTTGACTTGCAGTAGTAATTACAAAGCTCAGGCAAATGTCATTGTCCAAAGAAACTATATGTTTTCCTTGTGGTTGTAGCCAGTCAAAGCTGTCTCCATCCTAATACTACACATAAAATATTGCTTCTCCTCTTCTGAAACAAACCACTCTGCCTACAATCTGTTTTTTTAGAAATCAATTCTGCAGCTCTTTCTGCAACCTGAAAATGCTTTGAAGGAAACTGCTCATTTTAAATTGCAGGTTCCATGTAGAAGAGGCATGCTTACTTTCAGTGAGAAACCAAAGACAGATTCTGTGAGTCATTATATACCTACTTCAGATGTGAAAGTTGAAAACTCCTAGAAAGCCACTACATCTGCCCACCTGTGTGTTTTGTTGCCACGGAAGAGTGTCTGGCTGACACTGAGTTGGCGTGTTCTGTGACCGCTAACTTAGAGGAAGCATCTGACTATATCAGATGTAGGACTAGTTTGTAGGTCTTCCTGCCCCTGCCAGCCAGATAGGGTAGATGAAAATACACCACAAAATGTGTTGTCAGTCTGAAGTCTATATAGAACTTACCTTCAAGTCAGGACTTTTACAGATGAGCTCTGGAGATCCTGTCATGGCTTAGACCGTTTTGGCTTCTGATTATTTTGCCTGTGTGTTTCCAGAGGTGAACATTGCTGCAACTGGGGGTCAGATGGGAACATGTGCCTGAGTCTCCAGTGTTCCAGAGCAGCCTGGCATGTTAGCTTAAATACAGATGGAGGTGGGTCTCCACTAGTGCTCTGGATTTTGAACTTCATGGGCCCTAGCATGAGTAAATTTTTGTTTCTGCCTTTGCAGCTTTACTAAGTAGACACATCTTTCAGAGGGTCAGTCCTTGGGCAGACGCAGTTTGCTTCACTCTTCAAGTTGCACTTTTTTAAAAGTATAAACATGAGTGAAATGTTCCGTAAAGGGGAAGTCTATTATATATGTGCAAATACAGATACCTACCAAAAATGGCGAGATACTATGCTGATGTTACCACTGAAAACTTTTTTTTGAAGGAAGTATCCTGTACAGTCAGAGTTAAACTCATTAGGCATTGAGATACTAAAATATAAAGATAGTTGTTTTAATGTACTCTTGTGTTCCTTTCCAATATGTAGAGTGGAATTAAAATATGTTTAAGTATTATGTAACTTGAACGTGAAGCATGTTCCTGTAGGCTATTGTTTTCTTGGGAAACCAGCCAACCAAGGTAAAGATCAGACATCTACCAAAAAAGGAAAAAAGCCTTCAGAATCCCTTTTTTCTTGGATATTTTGAAATAATAGGTAGCTCATTTATATTTGTTGCTGTATCAGATCCTCTGTTTCTTTTCCATTTCTTAAGATGGTGTGATGGAAAGACACAGGAAGCAAATGAGCAGCTAATTTTAAAATAGGCTAATTTTTTTTGCTGTCTAGAGCAATTTAAGAAGGGAAAGCTTACAGGGAGGCCCTTCTTGAAACTTAAGAAAGTTTGAAGGATACTCTCTAATTCTGTTTTCTTACTAACCTCTGTCCTGCAGAATCTGTAAGCTACACCTTGTTCTGTTTATCTAGTTTTAACCCAAATCTCTCCGTGGGAAGAGAAGTACTGCTATCACTGTTTTACAATAGGTGAATGGATTTTTGTGGGTTGTCTGTGGCAAAGCATCAAAACGATTCTAAGTATCCTATGATTGACCTGACCTCTTGTTCACTGGGTGCTTTTTTAAGAAGTAACAGTAAACAGACCACTTAGTTGCTTATTGATACATTTAATGTTGGTATATGTTGACAGAATTTTCATTAAATCTTCCCCATACAAAGTTTTAAGTAACAATTAACTTGGGTTTACATGTAAAACTTTTTTATGTGGTAAGAGCAATTTCTTCCATAACAAATTTTATTTATTTCAGAAAGGTGAGACTTTTTTTTTCTATCTACATGTGGTGATCAGCAACTCACAATGTTTAAAAAAATAAGTTGACTAACAATCAGAAACATGCGGTTAACAGTTTTTTAATCATTAGCTGCTATAGACTGTATCTTGCATTTTTACTACTGCACTTGTTTTTTGAAGGCAAGTGCCCTTCTGGATAAGGGAGGCTTTTATTTGCCTGAGGCAAATGTATTTAATACACATGGTAAAACTTGGAACTTCAAGTTTCATGAAACTGAACTTCCTTTTAAAAAAAAATAAATAAAATTAAACATATAATTTTAGATTGCAGAATTGAAGAGTTTTAATCCTAATAGCAAGATTAAGATCTAGTAAATTGCTGTCTAGTGCACGTTAGGAATTTTACCTCTTTTGCCAAGAGTGGGAATCTTTGGAACATGGTACATTTTCTGATCCTCAAATGTGGAGTGTTTCAGTTTTATCAGTGTTGCTTATGTGACCTGGTCAGTTGCTAGCTCAGTGAAGAAATGGACAAACTGAATATCCTAAAAAATGCCTCCATCTATATACTATGCTTCTATCATAATCACCAATATACGATTTTAAGACTCTGCAAGGTTTTGCAACTTCACATTTCATTTACTGCTAACATTTTTTTAAAAAGTATCTTCAGATAAAGTTTATATCCTTTTGTGCTTTCATTTTTTTTCTGAATGTAAGTGTACACACACGTGCATGCATTTATTCTCTTTTTGCTGTAAGTTTTATTGCAACTATATTTGATATATTGTTTTTAGCTGTTAGTATAACTAACTGACTTTTTTTTCTTACTGAAATTATGTACCAAACACTAATAAAAATAATTAATTGTGATCAATATATAAAAGGTAAATGAAATATACTTAAGGTCAAGATTGATAAGAAAAAGCAACAGCCTCTCTAAGCTTCTAACAGTGCTAAAGAAAGTAACTTCTTTAGTATTCTGAAAGGTAATATCCCGAAGTCTTAACTTTTTTGCTGCTCAATATGTCAGCCTTACTGTTGTGGCAGATTTCTGTTGCAGTTGAGAAGTTCTTTGGCATTTGAACACTCAAAGCATTTAAAATAAAATCTTGTTTTCCTTTTCAAAAATGTCTGCTGCCTCCAAACATTTACTTAGTAGTCTTAGTATATATTCTGTTACAGTAATTCCATTACATTTCTATTTTGTATTACATGGAGGTCAACAGCCCTTGTTCATACTCCTTTATTCCCTGTGTCCATTTCCTCATAAGCTATTGTACTGCTAATACTAAATTTATTTGTTGCGATTCTTGTACAACTTTTGGTGGCAGTGGGCATGGATTGTCTTTCACTCTGGTACCTGTCTGATTAACTTTGGGGTTAAAAGTATATATGCTCTATAATGTAGATACAGTTGTTCCCCTTTTAGATGTTTATATGCTCTGTTTATGTCTATCTGTCTCTCTCCATGTTTTTGGTGTGTTCTTTTGGGTGGTAAGCTGTTAAATTCGTAGCTCTGATACCTTTAATAGTTTGTTGGGGTTTTTTTATAAGCACAGTTGTATCATGTGAGAACAAGACTTCAATTTTTTTATAGAGGGAAGAAGGTGTTGCACAAGGTGTTTTTTCCCAGAAGGTGTTGCACAGGGTTCCAAGAAGTTTTTCTAGAATTGCCGAAAGACAATGAGAGTGCCAGACTTTATAGTTCTACTGGTTTGATGGCTAACCATACTTTTCTCAGAGGAAGAACAGTATTATAGTGTATAGTGCTTCTAGTGTTACTCTAGTACAATAAAGTTGGAGTCATGCCTAATACTATTCTTTAAAATAACAAAGAAGTGGGAGGGGAGATACAGTAATGACTGAATAGGTTCTTCAGTTTACATTAGATATATTTTTGTATGTGAATGCAAAGCTTGCTCTTATGTATCTTGCGTTCATTTTCCTTAAAATACACAACATTGCTGTAAAATGTGGTATCCTAGTATTACCAGGTTTTAAAAATTGTTTCCCTAACAATAGAAGGTATGTTCTCCTCCATATACCAGTGTCTCAGAAGAACCTAAAGGATGCAGTGGACACCCAAACACCACAGCAGACCTAAAACCATATTAATTTAGTCTTGTGTAGGTTCCTTTTTAAGCTGGCAGTAGTGACTTCTTTATAGCAAACCTGACTCTTTTTTTCATACCTCCTAAAGAAAAGCATAATTTGACATAAATTCTGTATTCTGTGTATTCAGCTTTTTTGCACAACTTTTTTTTTCATAATAAAGTAATACAGGCCTTCCTTCTGAATTGTTTCTGTACCACAGAAGTGCATTTGCTTTAACTAGCCATTTTCAATTCAGCTGCAGCCATTCAGTGCAGTTTACCTTGCTCAGCTTCTGCTCATGTGCTTGTAGTAGCATGTAAGTGCAAGTCCAGTGCAGAGGTTCTCTGATGGTAAAGTTCTTTAGCAAACAGAAGGTAAGATAGTGTTAGACATGTCCATGCAAGATAATTCTACCTGAGTTCAGGGGGAGCAGAGGAGCACAAGAGAAATAGAGTCCTTTGGTTTTAAGTTGTCCTTGAACTTGTAATAAGTAAATAATAGCTTTTTGTTTTATGAAAAATATATGAACCTAGATTTAAGGCTCTGTGTGTGTATATACATGCTCTCTGGTTTTATTTTGACAGGAATCTTTTGATCCTGATATGCAGTTACATCGTGTTCATCAAGCTCCATGTACCATTCCTCCTTACATCTCAAAAAATGAATCAAGCCTTGGGGATTTGCTAATAGGCTTCTTCAAATATTATGCCACAGAATTTGAGTAAGTAATAAACTCATTTTAGTGGTTTAAATATGCAAAACTTTGATTCGTCTATTCAACATATGAACACTTTTTAACTCTTGAAGGGAAGGAATAGCAACACAGGAATGGTAGCTAACAGAGAGGAAATGGGTGAAAACACTAAGGGACAACAGGAATGCTGATGAAGTGTCTGACATCTTTTGTTTAGCCAGGCATCCTATCCTTCAAAATAGCTGCCAGGGGTTAGAGAGCTTTATCCTTTCAAAATAGCTGGATTTTGTTATATTAAAGTGTTGTAAAACTACCTATCCATGTGTGACAAAAAATCTGCTCTTCTTAGTTGTAGCTTGAAGTATTGATTAATAGCTGTGATTGTCCTCTGTCACACTGAGTTAATGGGGGTAACTGACTCCTTCCTTTGACTAGAATATAGATGGATACAGGCCACGCTGAGTGAACAATTCTCCCGTGTATAGTTGATTTACTAATCTTGTCAATTTGTTAGCATCTGAACTTAATTTTGGCACCTGGACTTTACTGTAGGAGAAGCTGAAGTTACGAGATTGCAAATATTTTGCCAATTTGTCACTTGAGTACTACATTTCAAGAAACTTAAAGATCTTCTAAAGAACTTGTTTCTGAAGCAGTTGGTTCATACATGTTGCTGGCCTGTGTGCATCATATAAATTTCCTGGAAGGAGAGCAAAATGTGTAACTGCTGGATACCCATTATAATTTTTGAAGTGTTCTTACTTTACTTCAATGTAAGAAGTGAACAATAATTAAACATTTATAAGAAAATATCGCTGTGGTGTGCACCACATGTGAATTATGTAAGCTAAATCCATATACCTTGTGGCAGTTAATGGACTAACTGCACATTATGCATGCTTATGCCTGATTCTGAGAGATTTCACATAACAAATTTTCCTTAAATGATGTCTGCAGAAAAGGGAATGTTCTTTTTTCCTAAAAATTTTAGCTGAGTACCTCTCTTCAACTGCCAAGGTACTTTTTGCTAAACAGGTAACTTAGAAGACACTGCTGGAGGATATACTCAAGTTCTTATGTATGTAGGCAGGCTAGATGCCTTCTTTACTACTTGGCTGTATAATGAGCTGTTAATCAGCTGTTAATATGAAAGTAAATATCTTTTTCACTAAGGACTAAGTTTCTGGTTTGCCTTTGTAAACTAGCAGAGAAGATCTTGTCCAAATGCAGGAGAAATACTTAATATGACTTTTCTGGTCTGGGTGCTTGTGAACATAGAAAAGAGCAGATTTTTGCTTAAGTCAGCATCTGGTCCAGGAAGACTTTTTCTTTCTTTTTTGCCTGCTTTTAGACATGCAGGATATACTAAGAAGTATGAAGACTAACAATGCTGCAATATCAGTACTTGAACTGATGGTAACCTCTGAATATTATTTTTCATCATGATCATAAATGAAGAAAAAAATGTTACCTAAATGTAATCACAGAGGCACAGTAGAGCTTCTAGTTAAAACAAAGCTTGAAATAGTGCTCAATGAAGATAAAATAGTCACTGATGTCCAAGAAATATAAGATTCTTAAAGAACAAACAAAAAAAGAATATCTGGCTTGTCTTTCCAGAGTTAAGGACCTGTATAGTACTTAAACATTTGACTGGTGATACTCTGTTTCAATAACAAACAAATCAACAAAACTCCCTTACTAAAAAAACCCCAAAATACAGTAAAAACAACCATTGGAATTTCTGTGTTGAAAATGTTACATATCTGAGAAGTCTTATCAGGAAATTACACACCTAAAGCAGCTACTTATATTTAGCTCCTTCTACTACAGAAATAAAACTTAGTCAAGCATACTGTTTACTTGACCGTCTGTGTATCCGTGACAACTATAAATCCTGTTTGGAAAGAGCAGGGTGTGTGTCTCAGTACTAAAATTCCCTGTAGTTTTATAAAAAGTAGCAATTGGCTGCAGAAGAGAAACCCAAATTAATGCCAATGCTGGGGAAAAGGCAGCCAGAACATAGTGTTTAAATATGTGTGTGTCCTAGCTAACCAGTGAGAACAAGTACAGTGTCACACTATCCACAGTGTCTGTTACCTTGAGGTTACTGATAGAGATGTTACAGGTGGGAATGAGGATAGGTGTGAAATACACACAACACAGTGCTCTGTTAGTTCTGCCTTTCATGGAAGAACTAGTATTTTACTCTTGAATGTGTGGAATAGTTTCATTGCTGTAATACTTTTTTTTTAAAGTCATTGCTTTTCCTGTAGAATATTTTGTAGTGTTTTTACGAACAGAAATGTTGAGATGATATTTAATATTCTGTGACTGTTAAGCTACCTGTTTAAATAATGTGTACTGTGCTGGAGAACTTTCACTATTGAACTGTAATGTGTTTGGTGAAGAGATCACTGAAGAAAATACTACTTTATTTTTCATTAAAGTGACTTTTGTAGATTCCATCTGTGGAGTAGAGCACAGTACTACCAGGTTTGATACATAGGATCTGTTTTGCTGAAAGAACAGTATGCAGTCAAGAATGATCAGATCATGTGTGAAGGTAATAATTTTGGACAGAATGAGTCACTGATGCCACCTCCCTGGAATGCTTAACTGATAACTATTTTACATGTGTTGGTAAGGAAGATGAGTGAAAGATGTAGGTATATTAATTTAAACTTCCCCCCCTCTCTAGCAAAGGCCAGTACATGTTTACATTAAAATGTAGGTTTTACTTTATTTTATGAAGTTAATTGTATTTAGGGGCAGGAGTGGCCCAAAGGAAGAAACAGGAGTGGCACAAAAGAAGCAGGAACTTTGCATACAGTGCAGCCATGAAAAAGTTCATCTCCTTGTTTTGTGTTGGTTTTGTTTTTCTTTCCCTTATGCTTTGAATCTGGTTTGTTTAGACTATAAGGTCTTTCAGAAAATTACTTATGACTATGTATTTATACAGTGCTCATTTCACACTCGATTTTTTGTGTGGTCCATAAGGAGTAATTTTTATCCCCCTTTGTAAGTTACCAGAAATGTAATTTGCGAATTGCTGCATCTATTGGACTTACACACTACATATGGCAAAGCTTAATTTGCTGATGTGGTTGTATAATTAGCTTGTCATAAGAGTTCAGGTCTGCATGGAGTTTCACATGAAACTTGCTAAAACGAAAAAAGCTGTCTAAAACTACACTTATAGCTTTATTTTTAATTTTTTCAAACTATAAATTATCAAAGGTCTTGCTGATCATACAGTGAGTATAACCAAGTGAAAATTTTTTTGAAGTGTTTTCAAAAGAAAGTATTTGGAAACTTGTCTGTGTTTACCAGGCCCTCTGGAGGGAGGCCCTGATTTAATTTCTGCAGCAGTGAGTGAAGGCAGCAGGTTTTCACTTGGCAGTCCCTTTACAAAGCAAGACCTTGAAGCAAGGCCTCACTCTGCTGAAGTTACTGCTAAGGAACGTGGAGATTGTTCTTTGTGACTATACTTCTCTTAAATTGTTTCAAGTTATATAGCATTCACTGAGTAAGTTATATTTGGTCAACATAATAAAAGACTGGTCACATTATCATGGCAAAATGTAGAAACCGGTTGCTCACAGATCTCTTCAGGGTATATGTTAATAAAGTTAATAAAGGAATCTTTTTTAAAAGTATATTGGATTAAATACACTTACTCTTTGTACCCATCTTAATATGTTTATGCAGGTGAGTTTGGCTTATAAGAGCACTCTGGAAAAGATAAGCTTTTTAATCGATTTGTTGTGTATTTATACACACTCCTGAAAATGCCTGGTCTATTTCTTTCAAATTATTGCCTTCTCCATGAGGAGCACATACATAATGTAAGCAGTGACATTAGAAATAAATTATAATTGAAACAGCTGAGTAAATGGTTATTGTTAACACGTGGATTGAAAGTATGGATGCAGAGAATGTTTGCTTTATGTTGGCAATAATGAAGTTACTGTGTGCAAGCCAAAATGGTTAAAATTGATACACAAATTGTTTGCTATTGGTAATTAATTTCTGATTGAGGCTGATTTTGGAACCAAGACAGTGCGTTTAGTGAGACTATTTGATAAGGTAGCTGTTTTAAAGTTTAAATGAAAAGTTGTTTAAATACCTAGAAATATCGCCTTTTTTGTTGCTTTTTGCTAAACCAGTGTACTACAAACAAAATTTTTGCTCAGTAATCAAGTCAAGTAGAACCTAGAGAGAAATAAGTAAGAGGAATTACATGTTTGAAGTGGAACAGTACTGTCTGGTTTAACCAAACACAGAACAAATACTTTGTTACATGACATTTTTTTCCTACTGGCCTGGATCAAGCTGGTTTAAAATCAGCTCTTAGTAAAAGCAAAAGGGTGGAAATACCAGCTTCTGTTCATGACCAATGTTCTAGAGATGCAGTTAAGCTTCTTTGATGCTCTAGCTTTTTCTCTTTTTTTGTCATTTTTGGGGCATTTTTTTGGAGCAATTCATCTGAACTTCTTTTTAAGCTTGTTTCATGGTAGTTTATTAAAAATATATAGGAAAGTATTTGATGCTTCACAATATCTCGGAATTCTTGCAGAAGTAGTCTACTGTGGGAATTATGTAGAGGGAGAGTGATGGGTTAAAAAAAAGCTTTAGTTTGCATTGAATGCTAAAAATTATCATCACCTGTACTCATTTCCTAAAGGATACATCAGGGAAATGTAAATAATCACAGCAGTGGGTGAATAAGTACTCTGAGGTGTCCTTAACAGTGCTTTGTATGCAGTGTCCTGCAACTTTTAGAAATAAACCCTATTTGTAGTCTTAAATAGAAAAATAATGTACATGTTCTGTGGAAGCAGAATTATTCAAACAGCTCACCTTCATAACTGGTTTTAATAATGAGTTGTGTCTCTCTAATTTGTAGAACTAAAAGCACAGATATTTAGCTGATGTAAACTGTATTATCACTACTGATTTCATGGAGTTATGACAGCTGATCTGTGGCCGAGGGAGCTCAGAGTTCCTCCATATTTATCTGATGAATTATAGACTGTATTTTGATTTACAGTTGTTTTTTACATATTTAGTGTAGATGGTTGATGCACCCAGACAAACTCCTCTCTCTTTGCATTATGTCAAAAGGTGGATTCAGTAAGGAGATCATCTCATGTGTATGTAACACCAGTTAACACTAGCAGGTAGCAGCACACTACCCAGCTATTCCTATGCCCCATTTAGTTGAGGCATATGGTGAAGCATTGTTGATGACCCAGGCATTTAGCTGCTATGGTAGTTTCCTGATTTAATTACAAGCTGCTAAAAACTAGCTGGGTAGCTTAAGAACTACAAGGGGTTGCTTTGGCTTCCTTTATGTTTGGCATGCCTTTATGTATGGTCATGCCAAGCATCATAAAGGTCATAAAGATGGTTAGCATGTTGTAAAGATTGTTCTGTAAACTCTTCTGCTCTTGTTTCACAGTTACTGTTTCCTGTGGTTTTGTGACTTTAAAATTGTATGCAGATAGTAGAGTATCTTCAAACACATACTTGAGTTTTTGCTCTGTTACACCTGTAGGAGATCTAAAATTCAGCATATGCAAAGCATTAAGAGTTTTATAATGCACTGTCAGTGCTTTCTTGTACCAGGAATGCTGGCCTGTAAGCAAGCTCTCTTTATACTGTTGAATTTTTTTTTTTCATGGAATGCAATAGGTGACTTCACCTGCACTTAACATTTCTTTTCTCCCCACAGAAAATTCTGAAAGATAGATTTGAGATTGTAATCTATTTTGAACTTAGAAATAAGTGTATATGTCCGTATTGAAGTTGAAGTTTTTAGAAAAAACTGTTTTGGTATGAGTATGTGTTTCTGTAATGTTCTGTTTTGCAGATGTTTTTGTAAATTAACTTGCCTTTGTGGAAGATTTTTCTTGTTTCCTACCCATCATTATTTAGTCTTATATAGTGAATTACAAAGATTAGACTGTTACATGAATTATTATAATGTACTGTGTTATAGCACTTTTGACAATTTTTTAATGTAACCTTGTATTACTAATTTAGAATAAAGAGTTATAAGTTCTGCAAATTGTTTTCCTTTTCCTTAGTTGGAGCCGTCAAATGATTTCAGTTCGTGAGGCCAAAGCTATTCCAAGACCTGATGGCATTGAATGGAGAAACAAGTTTATTTGTGTAGAAGGTAAAATGTAAAGCTGCTTTCTGATTTTTAACTGTTAAGACACTAGATACATTAATCTCTCAATTAGACTTTAAATTGGTTGTGTTTTAATAATGCACAAATCTAATCTGTATTTACGTAGAGAATGAAGTTTAATCAGTGTAAATAGTTTTGGCAACAGTCCCACCAAACACATTTGAGAAGGAAGCTTTAAGTTCTGTAGTGTTTAAAAATAGTCCTCTTGACCTTTACTTCAAGAGCACTCATTGACCTGTTACTTTTGGAACACAGATTAGGACTTTGACAAGGAATGGCTTTTATGGCAGTAGCATGTGTTCTCCTCCTCTGCAGAAATAGTCACCAGTTTTGCCAAGATTGAGCTTCTGAAAAACCAGAGCAGGCACACACTCAGATTCCTCTTGAAGAATATTCTTTGTTCTAGAAGTGTCCTGGCATCCCAAGTCCTAGCAGTGACTCGACTTATGTCAATCCCCTTAGGGTTTTATTTTTGACTGGTTTGTGAACAGACATTTTCTGCAGAGACTGTATGGTGGTCTCCAGAACTGGAGGGTAAACCGAAGTTACCTTTTGGAATTGCAGGTCTCAAGCCTTAGTGAAGACTGAACTGGGCAATAGTCATTATACAGGGAACCTGCTTCATATGCTCTTGATGCCTTCCAGCTGTTGTGGGGAATTTGCCTGCCTAAGATGAACAGCTAGCATGCCTAGGACATAAAGCTTGAACTAGGGAA